GGAGCCGGTGGCCCCGGAGGAGAGACACCTGGCGGACCTGGTGCTTCTCCTACTCACCCTGGCGGACCAGGAGCAAGTCCATCGGGTCCAGGCGGAGCAGAGCACCCCACTGGCGGTGCTGGAGCAAGCCCAACTGGCCCTAGTGGACCTGGCGCAACCGCACCCGGCGGAGGACAACCAAGCCAGCCCGGTGGTGGAGCTGGTGGAGCTGGTGGCGGACAAACTACTCCTGGAGGTGGTGCCGCTACAGAATGTGCTACTGTTACCTCGACTGTGACCGTGACCGTCTCTGAATGTCCTCCTGCTGGTGGAGCCGGTGGCGCCGCGCCTGCAACTCAACCTGGAGCTGGCGCTGGTGCTGGCGCAGGGACTACTCCTGCTGCCCCAGTTCAAACAGCACCTGGAGCTGGTGCTGGAGCAGGAGCCGGAACCGCCCCTGGTGCTGGCGCAGGCGCAGCACCAACAACCGCACCTGGCGCCGGGCCTGGACCCGGAGCTGGAGCCGGAGCGGGAACCGCCCCAGGCGCAGGCGCAGGCGCTAGTCCATCAACAACCCACCCAGGAGCCGCCGGAACCACGCCCGGAGCAGGAGCAGGCGCTGGAGCAGGAACAAGCCCTGGCGCTGGAGCCGCATCGACACCCGGGGCAGGCGCTGGCGCATCGACAACTCACCCTGTAACAGCGGGAACGACCCCCGGAGCTGGCATTGGAAACGTGACTACGACACGCAGACCATCGAACATCACTAGCCCCACTGGTCCCGCTGGTATCCCAGGCGGTGGTGCTGGTGCTGGTGCTAGTACAACCCACTCTCCTGGAACAGGCGCAGGAGCTACTGGTGGAGCGGGTGCCGGAGCCGGAGCTGGAGCAACTGGTAGCCCTGGCGCAGGAGGAGCTGGCGCAGGAGCTACTGGAAGCCCTGGAGCCGGAGCCGGAGCCGGAGCCGGAGCTGGAGCAACTGGTAGCCCTGGCGCAGGAGGAGCTGGCGCAGGAACTACTCGAAGCCCTGGAGCCGGAGCCGGAGCCGGAGCAACTGGTAGCCCTGGCGCAGGAGGAGCTGGCGCAGGAGCTACTCGAAGCCCTGGAGCCGCCGGAGGAGCAGGTGCCACTGGAAGTCCCGGAGCCGCTGGAGGAGCAGGCGCTACAGGTGGTGCCGCTGGAGGCGCAGGCGCAGGCGCAACTGGAACAAGCCACCCTGGTACAACCCCCATCTCCGTCCCGACTGGAGGAGCTGGTGGTGCTGGCGGCGCCGGAGGAGCTGGAGGAACCGGTACCCCAGGAGCTCCAGGAGCCTCAGGTTCGCCAGGAGCCCCGGGAGCAGGCGGCGCAGGGGTAACATCAACAACCACCGTCCCCGTGACTCCCGCCGGAACTAGCCCAGCAGCTGGCGGTGGTGCAAGCGCAGGAACCGGAACTACACCCGTCACCTCTCCCACTTCACCAGCCGGAGGAGCAGGAGGCGGAACAGCTACAACGCCCGCAGCCTCTCCAGCTGGAACGACACCCGCTGCTCCTCCGCCGGCTGGTGGTGGTGCTGGGACTACGCCTGTGACGCCCTCTCCGTCGCCTTCTCCATCTCCGTCTCCTGCGGGTGCTGTGCGGAGGATGGTGGAGTCGCGGGAGAAGCATGGAAGGATGGGGATGGTGAAGAGGGTTCTTGCTGATGCCATTGGGGCGTGAGTGGACATCTTTCGATGGCTTGAGCTGGAGAGATTAAGGATGGATGGATGATGGATGGATGTTTGAATATGTTATTGGTGGACGGTGGTTAAAGTAATCGGTAATAATATTGCTTGTATTGATTGTTGGATGGTTAGGACTACGGATAATACTAGTTCTTAATACAAATGGTTACAGAGGGTTTGCTTACTACGCATTACTGCTTTATCTGGACAGGATAACAGTCCTTCCGTATCCATATATCTACCCTCAATACAACGTTGGCTACAATTCTATACTCAAGACTGATTGAACGTAATCTTGCATTTTCAGTAATCCGTTCGCTGAGTGACAACGATTCGTACACGCCAAAACAAGAAAAGAGAAAAACAAGACCGATTCGGAGCACCCAGACCCCTTCGTTCGTGCTAAATGAAGAAAAAAATTAAATACAATACAAATAGGAATGAAAGAGGAAAAGGGAAACGGAGTAACGAGAAGAAAGGAAAAGAAAAAGCAAATGAAGAGTCAACCCGAAGATGTCAATGTCAAATGCATGAAACGAAAACTCGCCACAGGAGTCTAAAAAGGGGACTGGCCCCTTTGTCAAATGTTCGGTTCGCCTTTCAACTCGCCCGTATATGATAAATGTATGTGTAGTAAGTAGTAGTAGTGTATTTGTCTTTCGTCCCAAGCCGCGGCGTTTATGCGGAAAGACCCCGCCAGATGTCTCCGTGCGCCAAACACCATACACCAGAAGAACAATCACTGGCATAACAAAGTAATAACCGAAAATCCAAAGAGTATTTAACGCAGTAAAGCAGAAAGAAACGTGAAGAAGAATAGTAGACCGTAGTGATAGTCTGAGACTGCGGACATGATACCGGCAACAGTAATATATGCAAAGCAAGAAGCGGCGTGCACGAGGGGAGGGAAAACACGAGTAGGACATTGGAGATGGTAAGGTGAGATAAAAGATGAAAAGAAAAAGACAACAACGGGACCGGTCAAAGTGCCCCATGTTGAAGGAACATTTTCTTACAGGCGCGCAAATAGAGAAAAAGAGAAAAAAGGGTATAAGTTTGCATCGAAGCCACTCGAAATCAAACAGAAAAAAAAAAAAAAAAAAAAAAAAAAAAAAAAAAAAAAAAAAAAAAAAAAAAAAAAAAAAAAAAAAAAAAAAAAAAAAAAAAAAAAAAAAAAAAAGAGAGAGAGAGAGAGAGAGAGAGAGAGAGAGAGAGAGAGAGAAATCAAAGGAGACCGTTATAGCGAGGTGACAAAGCAAATAAAATGAGAAAATGAAACGAAGTTCCTGGAGAATGTGCAGGACCTGCAACGTCATTAGAGGCATCATCAAGAAGGGAATCAACACCCTTTACCCTTTGCAAGAAGAAATAGGCAAAAAAAGGAAGATCACCGCATGGCCCTTTCCAGGGCATATTCCTCTTCCTTATCAAGACCGGAACGTCCTCGACGATTGATGGCCCCTGTTGTTGTTGTCATTGATCGCCCTTCTATAGAGGGTCGCTTGCCATCGGAGCTCGCACCGTGAACGGGATGCATTTCGCCGCTGCTGGAAATACGGGACTCCTTGCTCTTTTCCAGTAGAGACCCACCCAGCGTGGCACATTTGAGAATAGTCTGCATCATTTGATTCTGCTTCAATGGCTTCGACAGATATTCGTCCATCTGCGCTTGAATGCACTTTTCTCGGTCTCCCAACATGGCGTGTGCGGTCAGGGCAATGATCGGTGTCCGATACATGCCCTTTTCTCTTTCGTATTCTCGGATCTTGCCCGTGGCTTCGAAGCCTCCCATGACTGGCATTTGAACATCCATCAGAATGACATCGTACCGACGCTGCTTGACGGCTTCCACGGCTTCCAGACCGTTGCTGACGACGGAAACGTTGTGCTTGTGCTTCTCCAAGATCTTCACGGCCAGTTTCTGGTTGACGTCGTTGTCTTCGGCGAGAAGAATGTCGAACGACCGCGTATTGTCAGTGGTAATCGGTGCAGATCGCCCTTCCAGAGCAGGGAGCATGCCGTTTCCGAGATCAATCGGTTGACACGGGGTGGTCATGTAGGAACTGATACCCAGATCCAGGGCCGACTTGAGACTGACGCAGACCAGGGGACAGACCAAAACGATCGGAACGTACTTGAAGTCGTCAAACGTGCGAAGCAACCGGGCCGTGGCCACGGAATCCACGATGATGACATCGTACGCGTGACCAGACTCCTTGCCAGACGGATCTTGGATCTCGGGCGGCGGAACATGCTCATCGTTGCGGACGACCAAGGGTTCCAGGTCGATAGCCTTGAGCATCTGCAACACATTATCGGCCTGGAAGCCATTTTCGCCCTTGTCGATGAAGAGGACCCGGTGATTCTTGTACGGCATGAGCTGCGAGGCGATCACACTCAACGACTGGTCAGCCAGCTTCACCACACAGGTGAAATGGAAGGTACTGCCGTGGCCGTATTCGGAGGTAACCCAAACATCACCACCCATCAGGTTCACCAGGCGCTTGGAGATGCTCAGACCCAGACCAGTACCACCGAACCGGCGGGTGGTGGAACCATCCGCTTGCTGGAAGGTGTCGAAGATAAGATCCAGCTTGTCCTCCTCGATACCGATACCCGTGTCGGAGACAGAGAACTCGAACGCATACTCGTTGGCTGCACATTGCTCGCGATCGGACTTGCGGATCGTGAGCTTGACCTCACCCTGCTCAGTGAACTTGATGGCATTGCCGACCAGGTTCAGGATGATCTGCCGGAGACGGAATGGATCACCAGTGACATAGTCAGGGACAGTGTTGTCCACCTGGTATGTCAAACTGAGGAGCTTCTCGTTGGCCTTGACCGCCAGCGTCTTGAGAGCGTTGAAGACGGTGCCCCGCACGGTGAAGGGGATGCTCTCGATGACCATCCGGTTGGCTTCGATCTTGGAGATATCGAGTATGTCATCGATGATGGTCAGCAGACTGTTGGCCAAGTTGTGCACCACGTTCAACATCTCGCGAGTGTACGGCTTGAGATCGTCCGTGTCCAAGGTCAACTGGGTCATGCCAATGATACCGTTCATGGGCGTTCGGATTTCGTGACTCATGTTCGCCAGGAACTCAGACTTGGTGCGGTTAGCCAGTTCGGCGGCTTCCCTGGCTGCCGTGTTACGCTGGATACTATCACGCAAGTTCGAAACCATCTTGTTGATCTTTCGCTTGAGCTCGTCCATTTCACCCGACGCGTTGACGGTGATGAGCTTGGTGAAATCTCCGTCGGTAGCAGCATCTGTAATTTCACCAAAGGCGCGCACCTGTGAAGTCAAGTTTTCGGCCATAGTATTGACGTCCTCGGTAATTTCTTTCCAAGTGCCTGCTATTCCTTCCACGTTGGCCTGGCCGCCCATCTTTCCGTCGACACCGACGTCGCGAGCTACCTTTTTGAGCTCCGTAGCGAATTTCGCCAAGCGGTCCACCATGTGGTTGATGGTGACCTTGAGGGTAAGGATCTCTCCCTGGGCGTGAACCTCGATCTTCTTGCTGAGATCACCCTTGGCAATGGCCTGCGTGACGTCCGATATACTTCGAACCTGTGACGTCAAATTTTGGGCCATGGTATTCACATTGTCGGTGAGATCCTTCCATTTCCCTTCCACATTATCTACCTTGGCTTGACCGCCCAAGGTACCGTCTGTGCCGACCTCACGAGCGACCTTGCTGACTTCAAAGGCGAAAGTATTGAGTCGGTCCACCATCCCGTTGATGGTGCTCTTGAGATCGAGTATCTCACCCTGGACGTTGGCGGTG